CTGGCTGTAAACAATTCTAACGGAAAAGTGTTGGATGAGACTCTACTGGCAGAGACTGGAGGGAGGAGGTCTATACATCAATCTTTGAGCTTTTTCTCTTCTGGGGATTGTCACCCATGTCAGATCCATCTGGACATTTCTGCTTTTTTTTTTTTTTTTCCAAATGCTTTTGCCAAGACGAATCTTTAACGCATTTAGATGTCAGAAACTAGGACACGGAAGGAAGAAATTAAGCATTAGTTTCTCCCTTTTTCATAGAGCCCAAGTGTTCTTATGGGGTCATTAGGTCCATTAAAGAGTTACTTTTCATTCATTCATTCATTCAGTAATTATTTAACAAGGTCTTTGTAGAAACCAGGCACCATACAGGCTACTGTTGGCCTGCTTCTAGCAGGACCACCTATGCCATAAAAATGAGATCATACACTGAACGGAAGATCAACAGAGAAGATATCGCAAGACAGTCCCTTAGTTACGATTTTGGTAACAAAACAAAATAAAAAACAAAAAAAAACAAAACACCCTCACACATTCCCTACAGCTCTCTATCTTTTCCTTCCTGTTTTTTTTCTCCTACTGCTCACACTGTCTGTGTTTCAAAGTACTTCTGCTTCAAAACAGCTGCTAGGTTAAATAATCCTATCTCCTCAGGGGCAGCCTTAAGTCTTAATTTTCTTTTTGTTTCACTCCACTTCCCACCTTTACAACCTTCTCATTTATAATGGCTGCTAGTTATTAAGTCCTTCCCAGGGGTCGGGCCTTTTACTGTCACTATCTTTAAGCCTCACAACAACCTCTTGAAAGAATGGAGACTCAGCAAGGTTTCTTTACTTGCTTACAACACATGGCTGGAAAGGAGGGCTTGACGCTTCTTAGCTCGAAATTCCAAGAGTGGACTCCTTCCCCAACACAACAGGGCCTCCCAGCCCTAACTGTGAGGTATTCCGCGCCCCCTGCTCTCACCCTTGCCAGGGAACCAGAGAATTCCAATCAGGAGATTGTGCCTCATGGTTATCTCTCCGTTAATAAATGTTTCATGGATTCTAAATGAGCTGTCACGATGCCTTGGAGTGAGGGTTGCAAACAGCTCCATAAGCAGATTGTACAATAACAGCCACGTGACCCAAGCTGTTACTGTGACAGCAGCTGAGAAGGAAGGATATTTAATTATGGAGATGGGAGGAAGGGTAGCCAAAACTCATTGCTGCACTGAAAAAGTGGCACTGATTTTGTTTCTCTAGTTCTCTTGGGAAATAGGAATGATAAAGTGTGACTTTCCATCACCTATGAAAATTGTGCTGAGGATCTTGGCTCAGATCTGTAAGCAGGAAGCATTTAAATAGTTTTTTCTGATGATTATCTTGAGGTTGCTTCATTGAATGAAATTTCAGAAGTTCACTCACAATGGCACCTGATGGGTATGGGAATAGTTAACATGTCACTGGGGGAGAGCTCGACAGACCATCCTTGGGAAGGACCCTGAGACCATGGTTATGCTCCTGGGATTTGTAGTGTGGCTTTTTTATTTACCAGCCGTGAGGCTTCAGTTGAATCATTTAACCTCTAAGCTTTGCTTGCCTCACCTGTAAAATGATGATAATGTTATCTACCCAGCAGGGTTGTGGTAAATGCGATACAGGTGTAGCACCACGCTGCTGTCGCCCACTGGGCACACAGGTGTGAATTAGGAAAAGGCCACCTTGCGGGTGGATGCTACCTTTTAGAAGTGAGGGGCCGACTGATATGCAACATTATAGACAGTGAACACAGTCCTGTGCCAGGGAGCAAGGCTGGCTGAAGGGTATCACAGGCTGGACTTGGGCTCTGTTCACACCTGGGCTGGGCAACCCCACAGAGCTCAACCCCTAACCATGCATAGCAAACCTACCTCGTGGTGCATTTTAACCAGTTAGGACTGGTGAACTGTTACTCGTGTCATTTGCCACATTAAATCAGTCAGCGTTTGTTCATTGTTATCAGTTGTATTACTGGGTGGTCAGTGACGCTCAGAGAAATAGATGAGACCACTAGGACTTCCATGTCACAGGAAAGGAATGCTGTGGCCTCACCTGTTTGCATTAGGTTTCTGAATAGGTCACCTTAGCAGTGGACACCAGCTTCCTTAGGGCTGGAGTGGGTCGAACAAGAGTCAGGGGAGGTGAAGGTGATGTGAATAGCTGTTGCCTCTCTGAAACATCACCCATGGTTTCGAATGTTCTAGGTCTGCTTGGAGAAGCAAATGTGGATGGAAGAGCTCATGGTTTGGAGTCAGTAGAACTGTGTTCCAACCCTGATGCCTCTGTGCATTTACCCTGTAACCACAAGCCAGGTCTTCAGTGACCTCAGTTTCCTCATTTAAAAAATCTGGATTATGATCTCTCTCCTATGTATGTTAGAGGTTCAAACAAGATAATTTATGAAAAAGTGCTGAGTTTGGCAAGGCACTATACGCATGCAGACTGTCATTTCCCTCTCAGTGTATTTGTAGGTTTGCAGAGACAAGGAGAGGGCGATTGGACTGTGGGCATGATATGGGCAAGGGCAAGCCTTCCCTCTTTTTTTCTAGTTTAGCATCTGCAGCCCCTTTGAGTGTGGACTCATCTGGGTGTCAAGTACCCTTGAGCATCACCTGCTGCCCCTAGATGGACTGCTGGGCTCAGGACATGTTGGGGTTGTCACCTAGCCTTGCAGGTAATGCACAGCTGCCTCTGATGGTGCATTCTGCAGCATCCTTCGCCATTGGCCAGTGGAGACATTCTTTGCATTGCTTGTCCCACCATAGGAGTCATACTTGTTGAAACCTGTGGTTAATTGGTCCTGGCTAACACATAGACTTGGTGTGAATTCCCCAAAACAGCCATAGAGGGAACCTCACCTCAACTCTCAAACCCTCTTCTCTCCTCTCTGCCCCAATATACTCCTGTGTTCATAAACCTGAACCATCACCACAAAGCCCTACAGGAAAAATAACAATTGAATCACAGAGAGAGTGAATTAATAGCTCACTTTCATAAAGTCTGGCTGCGTCCAACACAGAGACGCCAAGAATCTATGACTTCGCCTTTTCAGGAAAAATAACAATTGAATCACAGAGAGAGTGAATTAATAGCTCACTTTCATAAAGTCTGGCTGCGTCCAACACAGAGACGCCAAGAATCTATGACTTCGCCTTTTTTTCTGAAGCACTCCTAAAATGCACGGCTGGGCACAGTTCCCCTAGGAAACTAAATAAATCGGGAAGACAGAGTTGCCTGGGGGATGCTAAACTTTAGAGTTCAAGATAGCTTCAACTTGTATTTGCCCTTCTTTTTCTTAATGGATGTTCTCTATATTTTTCATGGATTTGCGAAACACATTATCATTTATGTTGAATCTATCAGTTTTTCCCATGAAGCAGGAAAAGTAAAGGTTATACTGTTATTTTTTTAATTAGAGGAAAATGGAGTTGTGGGAAAGGTAAGCAATTGATCTGAGGCCCCAAAGGATACAAGTCTCAAATATGCTAATCAATGAAATGTGTGCGTCATCGGTGAGTTACAGTAGAGAAAACAGGATGCCTCTGTTGATCCGCACAGCCTTCTTCTTACACTGTTTTCTGTCTTTGGGAACAAGTGAATGGGCTGATTAAGCTGGGGTGTACAAGTTTTTCTGAGACCTGGCTGTGGGGTTCTCTCATGAGGTGGAATTAGCTTCTGGAAAGCACAATTATGATTGGAGATGTTCATTTAAACTTTAGCTTTGGAACAGGAGAATTTCTAACCATCTTTCTTAGCCCTGAATTAAGAAACTGTCTGATAAGACAGGAGGCTTGCACTCTCTGGACCATCATGTAAATATCCAGATATGCATGGGAATGGGATCATGAACTGTTCTTTTGCGCAACAACCTACATGTGAAAAACAATGCACCAGGGACAGGAGTTTAAGCCACAGAGAAACTGGAAGAAATCTTTGGATGCCAGTGGTCTGATCTATGCGATGACTTGTGATTCCTGCCTCTCTGCATTTTAGTTTCTGCTTTCTTTGAACTTCCCTGTATGGACAGCACACGGTATGCTGAGTCAACACCTGCCCTCCCCAGAGCAGGCTTTTACATGAGCTGAAACAGCTCACAGAGGCTCTCTGTTGAGCCCCACCTGGCTCTGACTAGTCCAATACCACACGTTCTCACCGAAGGCACTGTGTTCACATGGGGCCCGAACTTGGTCTACCACTGGAACTGTTTTATAGAAAATATGACCAGGTTAGGAAGACTGTGTTATATTCGATAGTTGAACTTCTTTGCTTTGGTTTCTGGACCAGGGTGTCTCCACTGGGAGTGATTTTGCCCTCTAGAGGACATTTGACAGTGTGGAAACATTTTTGTTGTCAAAACTGGGGGTGCTGCTGGCATCTAGTGGGTAGAGGCCATGGATGCTGCTAAACATCATATGGTGCACAGAATAGTCCACCTTGAGAATGATCAGGCCCCAAATGCCAATAGTGCCAAGTCTGAGAAAGGCTGTGTGGACCAACGGAAGCATCCTGTTTTCTCCACTAAAATGAGCAACGTGTAAAGAGACCACCGTGTGGTTTGTATCACACTGGTTTTTGTTCTATGGAGAGGGTCTGCCTACCTCTATTATGATAATACAGCAGTATAACAAACAACCACAGAACCTCAGGGGCATATAACCGTAAACCTTGACTTCTGCTCAGGAGACTAGAGGTCAGCTGCGCAGTTCCGTTAATCTGGGCCATGCTCGGCTGACCTCGGCTGAGCTCACTCCAGGTTCAAGTAAGGTGTCGGTGGTTTGCCTGGGAGACGGCTGGTCTATTGCGGGTCCATTCTTATGTCTGATGGTTGATGGAATTTTACCTGGGGTGATGTGGGTGACTGTACCACTTGGCATGTCATCATCTGGAGACCAGCCAGGCTTGTCACATGTCGGTGGCAAAGTTTAAGAGAGAAAAACCATGTGAATCCTCAGCTTGGAACTGGCACAACATTTCCATGGCACACTTTTGGCCACAGACTCAAGACATTGAGAATCAGATTCAACCTTTTCATGAGAAGAGCTGCAAGGGGTAAGTATACAGGTAGGAGTGAAAGATTGTGGACATTTTTGCAATCAATCTGCCACATGCATCTCCAATTCTAATTTACACGATGTTTCAAAATTTCTTGGAGCCGCACCTTCTGCAGGAAGCTTTAGCTTCCCCTCCTTTGTCCTCCTGTTTGTGTCCTGGGCTAACGGCTCTCATGCTGCTCCTGCTGAGCCACAGTCTTGGCCGCAGCCATTGGCCAGTCCCACTAGAACGCAAGCCATTTATAATTCCTGCCCAAGGGACCATGAGTGAATATGCAGTGCTTTCTCTGTACGTGTCCTAAATGTTTTGTGAATCTGGCTGTAGGGCACTGAGTTCAAGAGCTTGGAGGAAGAATGCCTCAGTTCACATCTTTATAACCTGAGCCTCTTGTGATTTCAAGTCAAGTGAGGTGAGTTATCTATTTCTCTGTACAATGGGGATAATAATGGTCCATACCCCAGAGGCTTGGGAGGGCAAAATGAGATAATACAGGTAAAGTCCTTAAAAGCGTGGCTGGCACATAACAATGTTCAGCAATGGCAGCTTGTGTCATTAAGATGCCTCTTTCACCATGTCAGTCAGCATCTTTAGAGAACTGTGGCTTCATTCATTCATTCATCCTTGACTTGGATGTAGACCCTGGACTTCTGTGCTTTTCCTCCTCCCACAGTGAGAGGACAACGCTTGTCACTGGGCAGCTGACTCTTCAGCGGTTGAATTCGTTTTGCTTCTTCGGCTGGTTCTGTGTTTCAGTCACTGGGAGAGATTGTTATTTCCCTCTCCAGGGGTCAGCAGAGCTGAGAAAGTCAACTTGCCCCCAGGGAGACGCTGTGCTCCGGGGGCGAAGGAACTCTGCACATCTGTTCCACATGCCCGACTCATCCGGGAGGTATTGCCTGGGCTGCTGGATTCCTGCAGGTTACAGGGATAATGACGACAACTGTGTGGGACCAGTTTTCAGCAAGCTCATGAGCTGAAACATTTTGGGAACTGTTAAAATAAGACACACGTACGATTTCAGACAGGCTTTTAAATGGCAGCCTAAAACAGCTGCTCTTGCCATAGGCTGCATTTGTGGGCTTTAAAACCATAAAAATTAGAAGCTGCCCCATGAATAATACACTGACTCAGTTCTATGAGTCACAGCGAAGAGTGACTGTGTCTACACCTTTTAATACCCTGCAGATTGACTGGGTGTCTCTCACTGGATGGGTCTCTGTAGAAATGGAATCCGTAGGAGAATGGTGTCCTCAGCTTCTCCCACTTTTCAGGCTGGCTCTTTTCTAGTCAGATGGCTCTTGCCTGGCTTTGAAATTGTTCTCCATTGTTAAGTCTTCAGGTAAAAGTAGAACACTTGTGAAACTCTTAGAAGAGACCCCTGGTGTCTGGCGAAAGCTGGATTATGAAAGTAGAAATGGGCGCAAACCCAGCCTTACCCACAGTTGGCTTTGCTTTCTGATGGGCCATCTCAGGGGATTTACTGTTAACGCCACCTCTCCTAAACACCTGTGTCCATACTAGTATTTTTAATCTCTAAAATACTTCCATGTAATCACACTCAGAAGAATATAATTTCACACTGATTCTGCTAGTCTTTTAAAGCACATTTAAACATTCCATAAAACTTAAGTCTTGTTTTAAAGTAGGTATTTCGCTTTTTGAGGGCAGGGGCCATGTCTTAAATTTCTCATTTCTTCTACAATCCCTAGCACGAAGCTCAACACATATCCTTTGATTCTTATCAGTCAATTTTGTCACAAACGAGTAACCCACAAATTTGTTGCATTCAGTAGTTTTTGGTTCGGTCTGGTTTTGCCTCACTGCAAAGTTGTAAAAGGCAAAGATGTTACAAGGGGCATCATGTAAGCAGCCTAGCGCGGATGGCATGCACCTGGCACTTCGTATGTTTCTGTGGCCTTCACTCACAGTTTGAGTTTACTCAAAGGCTTTTATACCACTTAGTAGTCCCAATGGAGTCTATACAGAGTAGGTGCTAAATATGCGTTTGTAGGCAACTGAGACTAATATTCTCAGTTGCGCCGTTTATCACGGGTATTTTCCTAGAAGGATGTGCCACACAGCTCTAGTCCTAATCTCCATGTAACCCTGAATTATAATCATGGATCTCTTTTTACTTTTTATCCTTTATAGTAATCATCAAAGATAGAACAAGCTTCTAAAATACCTCCAAAGTTTGACTCCTTGCCTCTCTCCTCTCCAAAAAACTTCTTTTTTGTTAAGCATCTGTCTGCTTTTCTTTTAAGCTAGCCGGGTGTTCTGAATTATTTCAACTGCAGGGGAGGGACTGTGGCAAGAGTGGACTTAGATACATCTGGTAGTGCCATGTTCCTTAACAGATAGCTCTTTAGCACCTACTCTGTACATTGTATCAAGTAAACACCCCTGGCAACTCATGGTTCCTGCTTTAAGGAGCTTTCAGACTAGCTGACCAAGTACCACATACATGCATGAAATACAGAAAATTCAAGACCCTATGTAAAATACAAAAGTAGCAGTATGTGCTATGATTCCAAGGAAGGCAATGTATTCTGAAGAGTAAGGAGAAGGTTTTAGCAGGAAGTAGGTAGTGAGTTCTGGCTTTGAGCAGGAGTAGAATTTGTAGAGGTAAAATTGAGCATCAAATAGACACCAAGAGCAGGAGAACATATGTAGTGAGAAGACTTGAAGTTTTAGAGTCCCAGATAACCCAATACTTATTATTGTATCACAAGTTTCTGAATCTCATTCCTCAGTTGAAAAATACCTGATGGCATTGGCATGAGGATTAAGTATGAAAATGTCAGGTTTAGAGGAAAAAGATGCATAGTAGGTGATCAGTAATTGCTTGTTAGCTTTTTAGCAACTGTCAAAATGGATCAAAGCAAGTATGTAGGGCAGGGGGCAGGACTGTAACTGGGACCTAGAGGCAGCAAGGGGACCTGAGCAGGGAGAGACCTGGGTCCCCATTAGGTCACCTGTTGGAGAGCTTACATGTCTGGATAAGGGTCTGGACTTGAAGCAGTGGGCTGGGGAGCAGAGGGCAGCATCAATGACTTTTTAGATTTTGGAAGTTCCTAATTTAGGACACACACACACACACACACACACACATACGCTGAGGCACCGGAAATAGTGGGTGGCAGGAGGAGACCAAGGCTGATTAGTCATTATACTCCTGTGAGTGAGGTTTTGTCTCCAACAGGATTTCAGAAATATTTGTGTAAATGTTATTTCCCTCTCCAGGGGTCAGCAGAGCTGAGAAAGTCAACTTGCCCCCAGGGAGACGCTGTGCTCCGGGGGCGAAGGAACTCTGCACATCTGTTCCACATGCCCGACTCATCCGGGAGGTATTGCCTGGGCTGCTGGATTCCTGCAGGTTACAGGGATAATGACGACAACTGTGTGGGACCAGTTTTCAGCAAGCTCATGAGCTGAAACATTTTGGGAACTGTTAAAATAAGACACACGTACGATTTCAGACAGGCTTTTAAATGGCAGCCTAAAACAGCTGCTCTTGCCATAGGCTGCATTTGTGGGCTTTAAAACCATAAAAATTAGAAGCTGCCCCATGAATAATACACTGACTCAGTTCTTTGAGTCACAGCGAAGAGTGACTGTGTCTACACCTTTTAATACCCTGCAGATTGTCTGGGTGTCTCTCACTGGATGGGTCTCTGTAGAAATGGAATCCGTAGGAGAATGGTGTCCTCAGCTTCTCCCACTTTTCAGGCTGGCTCTTTTCTAGTCAGATGGCTCTTGCCTGGCTTTGAAATTGTTCTCCATTGTTAAGTCTTCAGGTAAAAGTAGAACACTTGTGAAACTCTTAGAAGAGACCCCTGGTGTCTGGCGAAAGCTGGATTATGAAAGTAGAAATGGGCGCAAACCCAGCCTTACCCACAGTTGGCTTTGCTTTCTGATGGGCCATCTCAGGGGATTTACTGTTAACGCCACCTCTCCTAAACACCTGTGTCCATACTAGTATTTTTAATCTCTAAAATACTTCCATGTAATCACACTCAGAAGAATATAATTTCACACTGATTCTGCTAGTCTTTTAAAGCACATTTAAACATTCCATAAAACTTAAGTCTTGTTTTAAAGTAGGTATTTCGCTTTTTGAGGGCAGGGGCCATGTCTTAAATTTCTCATTTCTTCTACAATCCCTAGCACGAAGCTCAACACATATCCTTTGATTCTTATCAGTCAATTTTGTCACAAACGAGTAACCCACAAATTTGTTGCATTCAGTAGTTTTTGGTTCGGTCTGGTTTTGCCTCACTGCAAAGTTGTAAAAGGCAAAGATGTTACAAGGGGCATCATGTAAGCAGCCTAGCGCGGATGGCATGCACCTGGCACTTCGTATGTTTCTGTGGCCTTCACTCACAGTTTGAGTTTACTCAAAGGCTTTTATACCACTTAGTAGTCCCAATGGAGTCTATACAGAGTAGGTGCTAAATATGCGTTTGTAGGCAACTGAGACTAATATTCTCAGTTGCGCCGTTTATCACGGGTATTTTCCTAGAAGGATGTGCCACACAGCTCTAGTCCTAATCTCCATGTAACCCTAAATTATAATCATGGATCTCTTTTTACTTTTTATCCTTTATAGTAATCATCAAAGATAGAACAAGCTTCTAAAATACCTCCAAAGTTTGACTCCTTGCCTCTCTCCTCTCCAAAAAACTTCTTTTTTGTTAAGCATCTGTCTGCTTTTCTTTTAAGCTAGCCGGGTGTTCTGAATTATTTCAACTGCAGGGGAGGGACTGTGGCAAGAGTGGACTTAGATACATCTGGTAGTGCCATGTTCCTTAACAGATAGCTCTTTAGCACCTACTCTGTACATTGTATCAAGTAAACACCCCTGGCAACTCATGGTTCCTGCTTTAAGGAGCTTTCAGACTAGCTGACCAAGTACCACATACATGCATGAAATACAGAAAATTCAAGACCCTATGTAAAATACAAAAGTAGCAGTATGTGCTATGATTCCAAGGAAGGCAATGTATTCTGAAGAGTAAGGAGAAGGTTTTAGCAGGAAGTAGGTAGTGAGTTCTGGCTTTGAGCAGGAGTAGAATTTGTAGAGGTAAAATTGAGCATCAAATAGACACCAAGAGCAGGAGAACATATGTAGTGAGAAGACTTGAAGTTTTAGAGTCCCAGATAACCCAATACTTATTATTGTATCACAAGTTTCTGAATCTCATTCCTCAGTTGAAAAATACCTGATGGCATTGGCATGAGGATTAAGTATGAAAATGTCAGGTTTAGAGGAAAAAGATGCATAGTAGGTGATCAGTAATTGCTTGTTAGCTTTTTAGCAACTGTCAAAATGGATCAAAGCAAGTATGTAGGGCAGGGGGCAGGACTGTAACTGGGACCTAGAGGCAGCAAGGGGACCTGAGCAGGGAGAGACCTGGGTCCCCATTAGGTCACCTGTTGGAGAGCTTACATGTCTGGATAAGGGTCTGGACTTGAAGCAGTGGGCTGGGGAGCAGAGGGCAGCATCAATGACTTTTTAGATTTTGGAAGTTCCTAATTTAGGACACACACACACACACACACACACACACACACATACGCTGAGGCACCGGAAATAGTGGGTGGCAGGAGGAGACCAAGGCTGATTAGTCATTATACTCCTGTGAGTGAGGTTTTGTCTCCAACAGGATTTCAGAAATATTTGTGTAAAAGCAAAACTTCTAAAATAAGAAAATCCTGAAATACTAAAATCCAGAAATCTAAAATAATCTGAGTCTGAAATACTAAAATTAAAACCCTGAACACCCAAGAGGACTCCTCCACCACTCTCCAGAGCAGCAATTCTAAGCAATTTCTCTCTGAAATCATTCAACTATTTTGAGTTCCAAAAACCCAGCATGATAGTGATTCTCTAATTTTGCCAACTTGGAAATCAATTATAGCAAAAGTATGGACGAACAGCCGAAGTTTCCTGAGGCTCATCAGCTCTTAAATAAACAATGTATGTTGTATATATGCAGTTGTTGCTGGGGAGCAGCATTGGAGGGTGGGACCCACCTATCCCACTTTGCCAGCGCTTGTTGTTTCTGATCTCAGAATAACACTTAATTAAATGTAATCATTTTCCTAAACAGAACTGAATGGCTAATCAGCCACTATGGTGGTGAGAAAGAGGAATAAGAAAAGCATTTTACAGTATGTATGCTGCTATTTGACTTTATTGTTATCAGTCTGGAACAATGACCTCAAACGCTGTTGAGAGACCAGAGGAAATCGACTCTCTTATTTTACCTTTGTTAGAAACAAGTAGCCAATTGACCCAAACAGCATGCCAAAGCAAGAGGCAGACTAGGAGAAATAAGCCATAATCACAAGGTGCATTTGAGTGGAGGTCTGTGTTGAAAAGCCACTAATTAATCTGAAGAGCCCAGCAGAGATGCCAGAAGGCCTTTCACGCCCAGTTCCGTCTAGCTATTCTGAATAGGATTCCTCTTGGGAATCCTGACAAGCCATGAGACTAAGTAATATCTCCTGGCAGCCTATGCTGAACAGTAAACAAGTGGTACAGTCGGTGCCCTTGGCTTTTAAGTGGGAAGCTGTGCAGTGGGTTCAGGGACAGCAAGTGCCCATCAGCTAGCCTGGGGTTGAGGCTCACACGGACTGAAGGGGACAAGGTGGGTGGCGGTTTGCAACTGAATTGCGGAAGACTTTGACAGCTAGCATCACGTCCACTTTGCAGGCAGTGAAGATCCGTGCAAGGCTTTGAGAGGGAGCATCAGCTTGCCTTTAACTTAGAGGATAAACCAGGTCTCTGTGTGTCAGGTAAATGAGAGTCCGGTGCAACACGGACACTAGGAGAGTTGGAAGTGTTTAAATGGCAGCTGGCAGAGGAAAAGCCAGAACGGGACTAGGAGACACAGGAGAGGATATGAAGAAAGAAGCAGTTTGTGGGGCTTCTTTCCTGGCGGGGTCACGGTTACTGTCTCAGTCAAAGAAGCGATCCCAGACTGGGCGGCTTCAACAGCAGACGGGTTCCTCACGGTTCCGGGGCTGGGAAGGCCCAGCTCAAGGGGCAGCAGAGCTGGTGTCTGGGAAGGGCCCGCTTCCTACTGCAGACGGCTGCCTGCTCATTGTGTCCTCACATGCCCAGGAGAAAAGTCATCTCCGGTGTTTCTTCTTATAAGGGCACTAACCCCATTCATCAAGGTTCTAGTCTCATCACCTAATCACCTCCCAAAGGCCCCACCTCCTAAGACTACTCCTTTGAGGGTCAGGATCTCAAGATGAGAATTTTGGGAGGATACAAACATTCACTCCATAATAGTTACCATAATTATTAACAGTCTATCATACTACTCCATTAAATGGCACATTTCTGGAAGGCAATGCCTTGTTTGAGGAGGCTCTGCTTGTTGATTTAAATTGTGTTACCAAATGTGTTGAAATTAGGGGTTTTCACACTGATTATTGCTATTAATGAAAATCCATTTAACTGTTGTGCACGACATACCAGCTATGAGTCTGTTTCGGATATCAAAATTATTTCATGCAAAAGATACATTTCCTCATGGTACATTAGTTTGAATGGAAAGTCTCCCTTCTGACACACACACACACACACACACACACACACACACACACACACTTACTACCCAAAAAAGTCAGAATCAAAATGCCTACTGTTTGCCTAATAAAACAGAAAGGAACTGCTTAAGGAAACAAACACTTCCATTTTAAGGCAGGAACCTAAAATCTGTAAGGGGTGTTAATCAGTTTCTCGGGCATTTAAGCTTTGCACCACATTTTGTTTTTCTGCTTTTCGCATTCATCAAGCCTCCGCTTGGGGATTTCTGATCTGCAAAAAGCTTTTTAACAAACATCCCCAACACCCTTTCGTACAAATACCACTTCTTCTCAGAACGCCAAAATAGAAATTCCTTTCTGTTCTGAATAATGTATAGTCTTCTGTGAAGCAGTTATGCCTGCCCGTAGCTACTTTGTCTTCAAC